GAGTGAAGGTTTTTAGAAAAAGGGTATTAGCTGTACCTCTGTACTATGTACCGACGCTTCGTTGCCGCACAACCACCACCAGTCGCACGTGGGGTAAGAATACTGCAGGCTCGAACCCGCGTCCCCGAATTACAAGGTAGGCGGATAACTCCTATGGCTACGGTCCGGCTAAACGTACTTAATTACAGAATCTAGTTTTGCTGCACTTATTCACCGGTAATTGTTTTGACGTTTCAGTTGGTTAGCCCAATGGTTGTGTAGACCCGTTGTTTCTGATTGCGGAGAACATTTCCGCTTTAAAAGTAACGTCCTTAGTTTCCTCGTAGATTGCATCCGAGTAGTTTTTGACTAACTCGGTTCTTATTAGCTAGTCAACTGAGTTTTTGCATTGCTCTGATTAGTTGCAACCAATACGCACTTGTTAGCTGTTCCTGCTACCGAACACTGCCGTTTTCCCATGAGTAGAATCTTGTTCATGCTAGTTTACTGTGCTCACTACTGTAGTGGGTGGAAGTAGTCGCGATGCCGACACAAAGTTACTGGTGACCGGCAATGTTGAGCAAGCACAGTAATCTCGTTTGAGCAAATGCGGACCCCCCCAGGGAGAGGTTGAAGTCTTATTGGTCTCGACAGCAACTGATCGAACTACTGTCACAGAAACAGAACATTCAGGTTGAAGCCCCAAGAACAGCTGCACGATCATCTCTTGACGTAATTGTAGTATCCCTAGAAGAAGTCTTCTTCGGTGGACTGACTGAAGAGAATATCGAATCCTAGTTCCCAAAATGGCCGATTCGATTCGGTCTTGATGTAGCTGAAAGTGAAAGATACGCGAACTTTATAGCGTAATATTTAAAGTAATTTTTGTCTTGGTGTAACTGGCAGGAAACCAATGTAAGTATCCTTGTTCAGTATTCGCTGTGATAGTCTGTCGACTGGGGTAGCCGAACATGGTACACACGACAGAGCCGTGAAAGTAAGCATATTAAAGTTGATGCATTGACAGCCCACCACTACAACAGCATTCTACTTGTGTGCATATTCCAACGTCATGACGACGCTGACGTACGAACGCATAATCCTTATAAGTTGGAACAAGAGTTCGTATTGAGTTAACAGGAAATCACCGTTGCATTTCAGAGCGATAACTTGAAGCACGACTTAACGGTGGTTGAAAGCTACAGCACTCACATGGAGCCCCAGATTGGCGGCACAGTTACTCATAGGCAAAAAAGGGGAACCCGAATGGATTAGATTAGAAGCCCCCGGATGCATGTGGAAACTGAGGCGGACGACACTAAGTGACGTAGTTTAAGTATAATAAGCATCAATCTCCCTTGCCAACATATCATTTTTATTTTAAAGTGGATGTTTTTCAAACCAAAGTGTCTGGTCTAACATGTAGGAGTAGGGAGTCATAAACTCCGGCTAAGAGGAAGATCTTAGGATCCTCCTTAACTCATCCGGAATGTGGACTCCAGTGTTGTCCATGATCAGCCAAGCACCGTCACTCTTCACTGTGCAGCGCAGGAACGCCACAAACGCTTCTACGAACATCGAGAACTTTGCACCATTGCAGATGTCATTGTTTATTATCTTTCAGTGAACGATGCCATGACTATTCCTCGCCACAATCAGCGTCATCACGTGGCCCCTGGCTGTGGGCAAGAGGACGTCCGCTCGGGACACACTCCCCATCTTGAGTGACCCTGCGTCCGCCGCAGCTGGAGAATGAACCCACTCTCGTTTATCAAGACGCACTTCTCTTTGATATGCGGTGCTTGTACGTCAAAACCAACCAGCGAGCGCAGGCCTAACGTCTCGCGATAGTCGTGGCACTGTTGACCCGGTGCAGCTCGTAATGGCACTTCATGCACATGATCCATAGCCTTCTGAGGGCGTTAAAAACCGTAGACACGGAAAAGTGGATCTCGATCTCTTTTAGCCTCTGCTGTATCTGCACCAAAATGTCTTTCGAATGTCACTCATCTGTCCCGACAGTGCGCTGTAGAATATCGGGAATCGGCTTCTCTCTGTGGTTTCCCGCCCGATTGCACTGAGTAATGGTACCTTCTCACCGGTCGGCATTAGTGATGTTCCTTGAAATGGTCTCATTGATATCACAAATTCAGCAGCTTCGCAAGTGATTTTGGTATCGATGAATACAAGCTTGGTAAGGATCTCTTTCTGCGTCACTGCCTCGGAGATGCACCATCTGGTCGTTCGTCGCTCATTTTGGTCGTTTGGGTGCAGCATTAGGCCAATAAAACTACGCATGGTTTGGTGGTCACAACAGCCTACACTGTTCGAGTGGTCGCATAACTGTAGATTAACACACAAAAGGCCAAAAGGATGATTTGGAAAAACCGGATCGCCGCCTTTGATTGACAGCAACGATGCTCATGATCAAGAGAAGGATTTGCACTAGCGTCCGCTGCTTGCGCAAATCGGGTTACATTAGCCTGACCACAGTAGGGCCTGAACATCGTCCAGTCGTGTTAGTACGCATTCCTTGCTAATAAATTGCTGATTTTCTTCCATAAAAACGCTGTTTAGTTTGATTCTCAAAACGTGTAGTTTAAAGAGAAAATCGTATATTTCGTTGCGTTTCATCCTGCAGATATTTATTTGGGATTGGAAGCCGAAGCTGAAAGTAGAAATCTTTTGCAACTAACACACATCGCGTTTTCTATCAATACAACCTACACAATTAGGGGTCAAAACAATGCCCACAATGTTTCAGCATATTAGGTCGACTGGTATAGTTGTAGTGGTAACTTTTCTCGATAACATCGTCTTAATGGACGGAACGAAAGATGAACTGTTGCAGCGACTGGATGAAGAGAATTAAAGAATTTGAGATACATTTGCATCATGATAAATTGTTTATGAAGTCTAGTGAGTTCTTGGGATTTGTGGTTGAAAAATAAAGCCGAAAACCGGATCCGAAGAATATCGAAACCGATCCCCCTACAACAAAGGATACCACAGCACTGAGACAGTCTCGGGGAATAGAGGGTTACTAAGGTGACATTTTACCACGCGCGTATCGACTACGTTATCCGCGGAACCAGTTAGCGATGAGGAATGCGACATGCCAGTGCTCAAGAGAATGTCGGCGAATGTTCGAGAAAGTGAAAGCACTACAACGCAAAACTGGAAAGCCCCGTGGCTAATGATGCGTCTGGTTACGGGATTGGAGCAAAAAATCCACACTGGTTCCCGGACGGTCATGCAGAGGCAATGGAACAGGTTGCGCTAACTTAATGCATATGAAAAATCGCTTCCAAATCAAGTGGGAAATGTTGACCGTCAACTTCGTTGTTTGGAAGCTTCACGAAATGATTTGCAGACGACGTTTCGCGCGCAAGACAGATAACAAGCTGATCATGGACAGTCTTGTATCAAAAAGGACGAAAATAAGCTGCAGATTCTGGGCTCTATTTCGTTCGTGAGCCTGTAAATGCATCCCTAGTAGCAACACCCTAAAGTCATGGGCCAAGTTCATTGTACACGGAGCATACACGGAAGCTACAGGCAAACAGCGTCTGGCACTGCTCCGCATGCTAATCTTAGTTGATGTTATCAAAAATAATGCACATAGGCGATAGGTTATGGGAACTCAACTAATCAGCGAGGATTCAATTCTGGAGCTGGGAAAGTTACTCACCTGTGTCGTATTCATCGATAGCTAGGGACGCAAACAACAAAGAGCGGGAAAACAGGCTGAGCGCAGTCTTTTCGATGGCGGCGCGAGGGATATGGGTTCCACTTGCGAAGAGAGTATCCAGTGTGCGTGCAACTACAGCTAGTTGATCTGACTGTATCACAACCGGAATGTCGAATGAAGTCAACAAACTTGTGATGCACTATCTGATAACGGGTGCTTGAGGACTGGGAAACAATGGGTACGGTGGACAGAGACCAAGGGGCTGCGGGATCCCAGTAGCACTGGAGCTACCGTTACTCAAGTTGGTGGCTATAGGAAGAAAATTAGTAGCGAGGATAGAGAGATGTGTAAGAGAAAACAGGTGGAAAAGAAGGAAGAAAGGTAACAGTAACTGTATGTTTTCGTCTACCTACCTTGTTGTCTGCGGTAACTAAGGTCCTTTGAAACTACGTGACAACTGAAGTGGGATAAGGACACAAAGTTTTGGGGAGCGCAATGGCTCCAAATGTGCTGGGTGCTCCTAGGGCACTCAAACCTAGGCAGGACGATCGGCGTATTCAACCCAAGTACCTGGTTGAAATTCTCACCGATGGGCAATAAGAATGAGACAATGACACGAGTTTACACCAATGGGTGTCACTCCGATCGTAACTCTGAACCTTAGGGACAGGGAGATTTGTCTGGCCTCTGACTATTTGTCAACCTGGTAGGAGTAGCTCTCATATTGGCCGAGAATGCTGCTCATTATAGGTCAATAAACCGAAGGGCCACGTAAACCGTCGAACTGTGTTAATGCCTGGTTCGATTGTGGTTGTGTTAACACAAGAAAATAACGACAAACATTTGTGCTCTTCCACCGCTGCAACATATCCGATGGACCATGGAGCAAGCGTACACATGCTTGGTTAGCCCATGTGCATGCCAGCGGCTTGTCATAGTGAAGGAAAGTGCGTTAATAGGGAGCGCGAAACGCCGAATGATCCTCAATGACAAGATGCCAGACAATGGGTGAAAAACAAAACGTGCTGACTGTTGTCTGTGTGTGGTGAGTGTCGGGTGACTACCTTAGTGAGATGCATTGGGCAAAAAGCGGCTCCACAAAATTCACAACCAGAAACGTCGGCTGTGCAGCGCCCGTCTCGAACCGGTTAAGTGACGCATCTGAGCGACAGAAAGTATCGGAATAGCAAAGCAGAAAGGCACTAATCCCTAGCTCGGATTCGTTGAGGAGATGGCATCAAACGCATCAAAACCAATGCGGTCCATCCGGTGGAGTAATCGCTTTCTAGAAGTCAGCGCGATATAACATCAGTCTTATTAGTAAATAAAATGATGGTATGAGATAGTGTATTTACAGGGAACGGTTCTTGTATGCTTATTCATTTAACGGTAGATGATAAAACGGCAACAAGTAGCCAGGGTGGTTGGAGCGATGAGGCCGAATAGATGAGACGGAAAACAGAGGGAAGAAAAATGTTCGAGCCAGAAACCGACTCAGTGCCCCTGACCGGGTGCTTGCCGGTTTGAAGAGGAGTCGATAGAGCAGGCGGTCGTTTCACAAACAACAGGGCGCCAATCTTGGCTTGTTACTTGAATCGAAGTAGCTAGGCAAGTCAAGCACTGTGATACAAAAACTACAGCGATTGAAATTACTTTGGGGGGGGGGGGGGGAAGAAATTAAAAAGACGAACGAGAAGCGTGGGAGGAGGTTGAGAGCGAAAAACAGTTATGGCAATTTGATAGCGTGTCGCCCGTATATAACGAGTGGGGTAACGCTGAAAACAAGCGACATGTACAGGAAACTGAGTGAGAGGGTCGTAGAAGCGACTAGTAACCGTCACAAGATGGAAAAAGCCTAATAAATGGTCCGAAGAGATGAAAAAACATAGAAAGTTGCTTGTATAAAAAACAGAAGTACAGATCATGGAACCGTAAAAACAAAAGATAGTCGAGTACAAACAATGCTGAGTTCATTGTAATGATGTGCGATGCACGACGAAAAAAGCGACATGCAGTCGATTAGAAAATTTAGAAGGTAACACAGAGTGGTGGGAAAAGTGTGAACACGGCCAGCTCGAATGCAGATAAACAAGATGGGACAGAAAGCACATAGAAGAACGTTAACTTGCTCGGTCAACTAGATCGAGCTCACCACGCACGATCCACAACCCCGACGAACCGCTTGTATCTCCGTTAAAGTTCGAAGAGACGCTGTGAGGGACATCGGTGTTAGCACGGCGGGCTTGTGATTTCGTGGGAGGAAGGTAGTTGATTGCATCTGATGGAACTTGAAGGCGAGTGGTAACCGGACTAAGCGCGGCATTCACGGGCCTCGTTGGCCGTGATCCTGCGGATGCACTTCGCCCATGTGACTTGGACATAGTTGTGGTGTGTGGAGCGGTTTGTGGGCCAGGCCGCAAAGCAGGACTCGGTTTAATCATCGGTTTCGTAATGTAAGAACAATCATCGGAAGAGTTGGCGAGCTTCCGGCCTGTATACGCGAGAAGTGAAGAAATCAAAACGTGAGTGCGAGCTCACCATGGGACCAATGATTGCATGGCTAGTATCAGATCAGTACGATGAAGTATAGAAAAGAATAAAAAGACGAGCACCTAGAAATGAAATGAATAAGCTACGTAAAACGGTGTTGGACAAACAATGGGCTTAGTTGAACAACCCAACACAGGCTAAACGCACAGTGCACGGAACACGCCAGTGTGAAGGGTAAAAATATTCAGGCAATCGAAGAAACAGAAGAACATGAAGTACGGGTGCTTGCGTACAACCAAAATCAATGGGTCAACAAGACGCACGGTCGACGTAGTGATAGTAGCTGGAAGTTCGGAAATACTAGATAGGAATTTGTGTCGGTTAGTGAGAAGAAACACGGTCACTAGGAATTTGACCGCCAATACACGGTAGACAAAGGTAGCATCGGTATGTACCACCATTCCCGAGGGAATGGAATTGGCCATGCAGAATCCGAACAAAAGAATTTGGCCCGCGGAGCGATGTGGCCCCTCTGACTTAACAATATAACTCCAGCTCTGGCAGGTGTAATGAAAACAAAGGCTAAAATGTGGTTGCAGTGTCACAAAATTATCTACAGAATTCTCTTAGCAGTTAGAAAAGTTTTGTTCTCTAGTAAGTTGAATTAATTGGGTTAAACTTAATGGACGTTATTGTGCTTAGCTGAAAAAACCTTAGGATTAGATTAGGGAAAGCAGCGACATGAAAAGCCAACCGTATCTGAAAGTAATCATCACAAACAGTTGCAACCTATAGGCGACGGACAATTTTATAGCTAATAGATTTGATTGAATCTCTGCAATCTTTCGAGGACCGCACAATAACCAATGCAGCCTATGGGACCAAGTAAGTGATGATCACATAAGGAATGTGTTTCAACCGGTCGATGACCGACTCAATTTTCGTTAATTATTAGATTCGCGCGGAACTAGGAGGTTGGGTACGAATTTTTAACCTCTGGACCTCGACCGATTCTTGACAGAAAGTGAGACTGTCAGAAGGGAAGCAGCAAGTGAGAGACTGGAGTGTAGCTGCACGTTGGTCAACTGGCCCCAGATACCTGTGTGCCAGACGGTTATGCGACCAGATAAAGAGAACCAAATCCCATTGGATCGATATTAGGGCAAGAGCTGCTATTGGTCGAATAGAGAGAGAGGTATAGTGCTTACCTATCAACGACTTTCGACCACCTCGAATAGGCTTTGGGATATCAATGGAGGAAGCGCTGATGCTAGTGGTTGGCACGAAACCGAAATCCGACGTCGACCGTGTCGAACGTGATCCTTCAAGAAGACCAACTGAAGAAAACGAAGGCCTGACTGTGATGGTTCGAGAATGTGGCGCAAAAACCGTTGTACTGGACGCACCGGAGGTCGGTAACAAGGCCGATCTAGATGTATTTGTCTTGATTCCGCCTGAGGTGAATTTCTTCGTGGTCGCATTGACCCGTTCTTGTTTTACCAACGCGGCGCAAACTGATTGAGGGGAAACGAAAGGGGAACGTGGCTGCACCGAGTGATTAGCAGAGTGCAGTAGGTCACTCTGGGATCCGGTGGCCGAAGCAGGTCGGCTGGAGAAAGGAGAACGGCCAGCAGCAGATGGTGGACAGGTCATAGAGGGACGGTACCCATTGGCCATACCGGATGGTAATTTGAGCGATTTGCGTGCAGGCGTCGCAACTTTTGAAATAATGTGAGATTTCTGCCTGACTGTGGTGGATGGGATAGTAGGCTGCAGGGTCACCTATGATACATTTAGGAGAATGAAACGGTAAAACACAGAGTTAACTCCGAAAGTTGAACAAGGACTTTAAAATAGCAGGTATTTAAACAAAGAGCAGGATGGTGTTTGGTGACGGTTGATTAACAGCATTACTAAACGCGTATACCCCATAAGAACATTGATTATCTGAATGAGTTCAAAGTGAAATTGCCAATCAATTGGCTCGCATGGCGAATAGCAGTGCCCAAGTGCGATATAACACTAGCGATTGAATACGCCCAGAGTATGCTTCATCCATGTAAAATGAACCCTCATTGCAACTGCCCTGATCGTCCGAAATGCTTAGAGAGAAGTTCGCGAGGGCTGTCTTGTGAATGAGACAAGCGTGCACAGCCAAACTGTAAAATGCAATTACAAACCTTTTGGCATACCTATGTTGCTGCTTGCTTACCATAACTAGGGTTTCACCAGATCAATGAAGCCGCGGTGTCACATAGCAACCAATTGATGCGGACGAGTAGAGACACCCTAATCTGCACTGCTCTACGTAGTCATCTTGAGCGGGAATCGACCGGAGAGCAAGAAGAGCGAGCGCTAATGGAGGCTAAAGGTGAGCTAGTAGACAGTGGCGAAGTGGTTCATACAGATGCAGGCGGATCTTGGGTTTGTAATCTATGGATATCCCCTAACTCTGCAACAAAGCACTGCAGTGGTTCAAACCAGAAAATCGTGGGAGAAAAATTTCGATGTTTATGACCGGGAAAAGTCTATGAGCATTCGGTAATGTCGAAAAAGAGTCTGGGGAAAAGAACAAAATAGAGGTGACATTGGAAATGAAAGTGAAACGGATGCCGTGTAAACAGCAGATTAGCAACCAAATGAGGAACTGTAAGAGCGTTGCATAGCAGCTGTAATTGCCAATAGAAATTCATTGGTGCCTGCCTAACATGGAATAGTTTGATTCGTGCGTAGCGAACGCAATGTAGTGGGATGCTCAGTCAAGTGTGTCAGAGAAAGAGACGATGATGACATTAGGATAATCACGAAAAGAATGCAATTAGACTGCCAATCGGAGTGAGCAGAGAAACAAAGTGACAGGTACCAATGAAAACTGATGGATATAAGTGTGTGCGGAAGCACATTGACATGGCTACACGACTTTAGGCGGCGAGGTAGCCTTCGTGCAAAATTCCATTGCAAGATGAAAAACTATGAAGGAAGCGTGGAGAATATTCTTATACGTAGAGACGCAAAAGATGATGTCGAATATAGAATGAAACCCGAGTGTTCGCTTGTGTGGGCATTTTTGTGTCCAGTCGTGAATAAAAATATAAGAAAAGCAGCAAGCTCTCCCTTTGCATCGAAATTTATCCGCGTTCACTTAGCTTCCAGCGGTTGCATGGGGACTAGGTACTGCCATGTAGTTCAAACCTAGCCAGTAGACGAGGAGATGATAACACAGTACCGGGACCAGGACCTTTGGGTCATTACTCCAGTGGGATGACTAGTTTTTGGTAAGTGCGAATGCGGCAAAGTACTCGAATGCAGTAGGACTGCGGTAGTCACTAATGCGCAAAACAAATGCAAGGAGCAACCGCGGATTCGGGACGAATGGGAAATCGGAAGCGAAGATAAATGAAGGTAAATGTTTGGAAAAAAGTACCTGTGAGGAAGGAAGAGTTTGTGTCCGAGAAGAGCTTGTTTGGTCTCTACAGTGTGAATTAAATTGTGGAATAGAAGAAGGTCGGATCAATTTGGATGGCTGCTTAGGACATCCAGAGGTCACCGTAGTCAGGGAGGCATAATGTGTCGCACCATTAGAGGAGGATGTGTCTTGCGAGTGTCGACAACCGGGTGCCAACATATCAAACTCAATTGTGCGAGAAAATTGTTGACAAGGATCGGATGTTGTTGTATCCTTATCGATGGAGTTCTGTAAAGCGAGCAGGACGGCCTGTGGAGAGAATGGAGACAGAAAGAAGGCCAGGTGAGGTTTAGCTACAAAAGAAGCAAGTGAACAACTATACGCCGCTAAGACTGCTAGGCGAACAAGCTTGTTTTCGGTGGTTCGCATCAGGCCAATACACCACAGAAAAGAGGAATAAAACAAACACAAGGTATGTAAATACGATGAATCAATGAAGTGAATTGACCGGCCAATGAGAGCAAGTGACGATACTGGTTTGTGCAACATCAGTGGAAGGGTTAAGCGTGGCGTCATGACATGGGGAAGCTTGAGGCCATAGCCACGCAAACAGTATCTCTACCAAAGAAACTATGCCCATAACTAACATGGTACATAGTACAGGTGGATAACGAATCAGGAACAGTTAGTGGCTAGCTGCGAGCTGGTCACCCACTGCTTGAATAGTGCTGCGAGCGATCCTACCGCGATTCCACAGGATTACTGATACCGAGTGGCAAGGATGCACCCAAAAACGAAAGCGAGGGTCAAACAGTCTTGGTGGGTCTTGACATGTATCGGTGTACTATGAGTAAATAAAGCGGTACCACCTGTCTTTCGACGGTACTCAGGATAATGTTATACTATGACTGAACAAATATTGATCATGCTCTCGCGAGAGGAGTTTCAAACACTCGCAGTGACTTGTACTGTACTAATGGCGTGGAAGCCGAACCTCGATTTACGACCGAAGCGGAAAGCAAGCTACCAAAAAATTAGATTATCCAGAAGGATGTTCAAAAATTGAGGGATCTAGCGAAGATCGGTGAGCAGAAGCACAGTAACCGCAGGGACAGTGAGCTAAGAATTTTGTAAATGCCTGAATGCGATTGACCGGATGGCTCCAGTAAGAATAGGAGCTATGAGCAGCAGATGACCGCGTAAAACGTGATAAGTAGATGAGCTAGCAGTGAGAAGCTGTAGGAAGTAGCGGTTTCGTGTGGAAAAAATACGCAGAAACCTATTCAATTTGCAGCTGTAGAAGCGACTTATCAGGCGTGACTATGGTAGGAGAAATACGCTGGGCTGGATTGGGAGAACAACAAACTATTACAAATGTGGGAAAATCACACATAGTGTGCGCAAACAAAATTCATTTTCCCATGAGTTGCGCATTAGATGATCTGTTACAAGGAGACAGCTGCAGTGCCATCCAAATGCACACGGGTTCTTTTTAGTCAGGCAGCACAGCGGGAGTTTGAAAAGGTGTGTTAGTTAGATAGGCCTTGTCCCGAAAATGAGTACACTAGAAGCAAAATAGGCAATGGGTGTTGGAAAGAGAACAAGAGAATTCACAATGTGGGAAAAACGTGCGCACAGCTGCACACGTGGTACGAAATTGATCAAAAGCAAGCAAAGAGGCAGCTCACCTCTACACCTTCAGCAAGAAGAGACTGCGTTGCAGTCTGATCACCAGGGGGATGGGAATGATTGCTAATGGCCGCGGTGCTCAAACTGACAGCAGACATTGTAGCGTGGGTTGTGACTGATGGACTATCATTGGTTGTGTCCACCATTGAAAGTCCGCATCTACTGATTTCAGGTTCCGGGGGAGAAACCAACTTATTTAGCTTGGTTTTACCTTTGAAGGAGTGGAACGTGAGAGGATAAACGGTGAACAAATGTAGAGGGAAGAGAATAAGGCAAAGTGCTAATCAGGCAAAGTGAGAAAAAATTGTAGAGAACTGGGCATGCATAGTGTCACCAATGTGAATGCAATCCGGGTTGATGCAAGCGTAGCACCCATCCGGAGATTCTTGCTTTGTGTTTCGGTCTCGGCTAATCATGTGCATATGGAAATGAAAGAAGAACCGAAAATCGGGCAGTTATGTACAGGCCTTTAGGGTGAACAGTTCAAGCAGACACATGAACAGAGAGCAATCAAGTGAGGATTTTGATGAAATACAAACCATTTATGGAAAGCTGCATGCGCGCTAGAGAAAAGACAGCCGAATTCCTGATGTCGCAACATCATCATATACGCTAGCTAGAGGTGAGAGACACCTCAGCTATTGTGTCGCAACACGAGAAAAGAAAAAAAACATGCATGGCAGCTGCGCCACCAGTAACGAAATGGACATCGTGCCGGAAAGCTAATAGCCGACTGTTGTGCTACAAAAAAGAATTCTGTTATGTCTAGAAAATGAGATGGTGATTGGAGGGGGAGGGACAAATAAACTATCACAAACGCCAGTGAGGTCGGCTCCTTGATATGTCAACAGGTGTACCAGCCAAACGTGTTCATGGTCTTATGGGCCCCAGCCAGGGAGCTGAGAAGTTCCAACTAAGGATAACATCGGGCTAAGGGCCTTCATTCCTCTCAATCAAGTAATCACTGGGCTTCCCCGCCTTTACATCCATTCACATCCTCGGCGCGCAAACGAAGTTCGTCGCGAGAGTAGGTACGTTGGCATGCGCAACAAGTGGCCCAGTTGTGGAAGCATGGTTAGTGAAAAGTGCTGCCGAGCAGTTCACTTTCTCTTCATGTGCCAAGGTGCTGAACAGGCTCATTGCTCACACGGTGTTCCCACCAGATGTGAGGAAAACTGCGAAGGCACCGGTGGTCGAACGTAACGCAAAAAAGAAAGATTGGAATAACATCGGTTTATGTTGCAATTCTGCCAGTCATATATTAATATGTCAGTAGGGTTATTAACAGTTGCCGGATGGGCTACACACGTGCAATGGGTGACGAATTACGCGAACACAACCTCACAATGTCCACGGAGACAACGTTTAGTAGATATGACCACAGAGTCATGAGTAACCTGTTCCGCACGGTAATGTACGAATGTCCGTCGTTTCTCGAGCATCCGGACCTGCTTGTATTTATTTCCGCAGTGCATTTCATGTATAGGTTTAAAGAACCAATCGCTTGTGTGTTACGTTTCAGTGATTGGAATGATAACACAGCGTGGATGTACCCTGTTGAGCGCAACCCAATGGTGGATGATGGAGAGTGACGACCACTGTTTCCGGAGCTTAATCTGCCTATTTTTGTAGTGGATTGGAGAAGCAGAGTTGTGGTCAGGAGAGATTTTGTGGTGAAATGAATTCGATGCATAGGCCGGCTGATGAAAATTGGCATCCTACCTTTTTAGATATTATCAACGGCTAAACAGTACCACCCGAATGTGTCATGAAACACTTACGCGTTGAGACTGCGACTTCAGATGGAATACGACTGTTGTTTTGTAATGTGGCATTTGACAGCGTCACACTCGGCAGACGCAGCCGTGTTGATCCCTTGGCAGTGCTGATGAGGACACCATTTGTCATTCCTGAGTCGTAGCGAGTGAACGGAAGTAATGCACCCTTGAAAGCAGAGTCTGAAAAATCCGTTGCACAATGGATCTGTTGAATAGAGCTGTACGGGGTCTTATGCTGCGATCGAGGTGGTAATGTTACAGGAGCGGAAGATGCACGCAGGTTGGAGAGAATGCAATCTTCCACGGAAGTAAGCTTCGACTCAAGGAATGACGTAGCAGGCTGTTGAGAAAACGCAGCGGTAGAAAAGGATTTCGGGGCAGAGATCGATCGTTTTTCCCCCGACGGCATGTTGGGCTCGTCGTTTGACTTAGTCAGGGGCTTGACAAGTTCCGGGGATTGAAGTTCCTCATGCAATGGTGCAGCCCTTTCAGCACAACACAACTCCGGGTGAAGTTGATGCCACAGCTGATGCTGTTGGTGGTGACAGGACCGTTTACGCAGCGTATCCATTACTTCTGGACGAGGTAAAGCGGACGAAATACACTCCTGTAAAAGACTGTGTTCCAACCCGACAGACTCGATACTCAACAATGAGGAGAACGAACTGGCATCTTCCTTATCCGCCCCATTGATGAGTCCAGTATCACGAACTGAGACTTGTTTGGTATCAGAAGCATTCAGTGAACCTAAAATGGGTAGAAGAAGAGGAAGAAGGTATCAGCAGTACGCCCACATACCGTACCGACGCCTCGCTGCCACGCAACCACTACGGGTCGCGAGTGGGCTGTGTGAACTGCGAAGGTCGCCCTGACCCTACGCAGATTCGAAACAGCAACCGTGTGGAGTACAACGCAAGTACCGCCAGGAATAAGGAACCAAATCACGTTAAACAGTAAGGAAATGACGTATAAAAATATCTGGCGGTGTTCTTTGTGTTAGAGGGACAAGCAAGCGAAGTGGTGCATTGTTCCGAGGTAGGTATCGATATCATGCGAGGACTTCCCAGGAAGATATCCAAAAAGGAAAGATAACCGACTGACGAAGAGGTACATGAAAGCCTAACAAGGAAATATGCGAACGCTAGAGGGGAATAATACAAATTTATGCGGTAAATTATACCCATGAAAATGCAAAAACCCAAGTTTGCGAATAGCACTCTTTTTGACAAATCACTTCAGACATTTAAAACGGAATGTTAGAGCACAAATAACTGATGAAACAAGGGAGGGACTAATGGAATCACGACAGTCAGAAACTCAAACGTGTTGATCGATAAGGTCGTCGATCATGTCAAGTGACACAACACGTGTTGGGTAATGGGTGAAATGCCAAGCGCAGCACCCGATCGCTGTCGGCACGCGAAGTGATAGAGGTCGGGAAACCAATTACGGTCAAGATAGAAGAAACCTCCTGTCTGCATAGTCCCGGTTGTGTCATCCCAACTGCAATCGCTTCGGAAATCCGTAAGATTTGTTTCCTAAGGCCTTTGGGGCAAGGGTTCGGCACCACATAAAGGCGGTCCTAATTTGGTGTGCGCTTTCGACCATAGTTTCCATGATGAAACTGTTGGTGCGACTGATGATGTGTAGACATAAAACCGCTGGTTAGTGCGCCGCTATCCGTTTAGACAGACGCCTGGTTGTGTGTCCAGCGTACTTCACTCACATCATAGGTGCAAGTAAGCTGTTATAGAATGTAGGATTGGGACTGAACCGGACGCGTGTTTGAGACGTTCTAGTCAAGTCAAGAATGTGTTTTGTGCGTCCACGAAAAGTGAATATTCAGCTCAAACACATGTATTACGGCAAGGGATACAAAAGAAAAACAAACAATACATAAGGATAGATAAAAATCCCAGGTCACCTATTGGAAATCGTACGCATGAGCGCTAGAGGCTGACACAGAATGGCCAGCAGCTTGAGCCACTGAACCATGGGAGAAGCTGGTTGGACTACATAATTTGCAAGATAATTGGGATATGGCTCAACCTATCTTTCACTGCCTCGCAGGTTACTACCTTTACAGATGACAGTGGCTAGCCTCTCACTAGACGCTATGTCCACAGCGTTTGAAACTAGGGTAGGCCGCATTTTATCGTTCAAAAAGGTGACACGCAAGGAACTACTGATGCACCATGGGCAATAAAGGGAGCGGTTTCTGCAAAGACGTGTGGGTAGGCGATCGGGATGGTTCGAGTCACTGCCGTGGAAAGTCTTCTGCTCAGCAGATCAAAAGGAATATCGTCTTTAAACGGAACTGATAGGAACATGTGCCACATACAAACATTTGTAATATCTTTGCGACAATCATCAATGCGTGCTTTCGGATAAACGGGGTTGGGTACCCGTATTCTTGCATCGTTTTGACAACACGAATCTTTTCGGCCTCCAGCGTCTCTTGGCTGCAAATTTTCGTAGCAAGAATATACGAGCAGTGAACAAGATTACGTTTGGCCTCAAGGGTACAAAGCTTAGATAATGCGTATATTGACCTACCCATGTGGCCTTCCGGAACACCCTCTTTGCTGATGAGCCAGCATTATTCCGGCTCGGCAACACGTCCAAGAAGGCGAGTTTGTCATCATTATCTATTTCGATGGTGAACGTCAACGATGGCTGAATACTAACAGATTTAACAAGATGCAAACATGTTTAAATCACAGACTATAAATGTATCATCCTTATACCGACAAAAGAAATCAAACGAAACGAAGATAGGTCGTATAGGTTCATGTTCAATCATAACAAGGAAAATGTCAGCAAAGCGTAGTCCAAGAGGGACCCCATTGCGACACCGTCGATCTGTCTGCACTGCACTCTAACAAAGAAAACTATCTATTGATGGTGTACCGTAAGATTAATTCTTTCAGTTTCCTCACGTGAATACCCACATTATCTCGTTTAAATAATCACGTACAAAACTGACAGTTTTCAACAATGGAATACTAGTAAAAAGTGGCTCAACATTAAGAGGGAGCATCAGTTTGTCATTTACTTTCATGTATTCTATTCCTTTCACAAATTTATATGTGTCCTTTACCGTGTATGTGTGCATAATTCCTTGCGTAGTGATTCAAGACTACACCGGTGGCGTGAGATACGTTTGACACATAATTAACGGCATCTGTCCAAACGGATGATGCAGCACTACCCAGTGATTTTGTGGAAAGGTAACGAAGAAAATGCACCAACAGTTTGAATGTATTTAGCTAAATCAGGTACTTAGCAGGTGAGCTAATCCGGTTACTAATGGAAACAGACAGTTTTGTTGATGTCTAGAAAAGTCGAAATGTAGGCAAGTAACTTCCATAGAAAACAAGGAAGAAAACAAATGAAACACAAACGTAGGTTTGCTGCGTGTTCACAGCAAACACAAACGAGTATCTGTGCCCATAGGATAGTGAAGAATAACGCGGGAAACGAAGTTTAACTAGGGATGAAAAACGATAGATCAACCGAGAAGATAACTAGAGTTGATAGCGGTTTGTATCAAAGCTGGAAAGAAATCAAAGAAAGAAGACATCATACAGAGATGGACTCATAGGATTAAAAAAGAATGCAATTGAATGGGAGCATGAAACTCACAGGACGGTTCCACCACTGCTGGTGAACAGCGAACAGCTTGGGGCATCGGAGCAACAGTGGCCAGTGGTCGGTTTACATTCAGACTCGAATGAGTGAATAGGTCCTTCTGACTGGATAGAACCGATGAGGTACGTCGAGGGGGTGCCGGAGGAAATGGTCCAGTGGTTTCCAAAAATCCTACGGGAAGAGGAATGGTGGGGAGAGTAGTCGAGGAACACCGAGATGATGAGTGGGAGGCCAATGAATTTAAACCGCTGCTGTCCACGTTGTGCATAGAAGAAGAGTCGGAAAGATCGTCTTCGCCTGGAGTACCTTCTACTGCGTAGAACTGCAAACAATCACCATCCACGGATGCAGGACAAAGCACGTTCATGCTGGGACAAGAGGACTTCGGCATCGCAGATTGAATTACCTCGGACAACAAATCGGATGATGTGTCACCATTAATTGAACTAGAGTTGGAGGAACTTGTGCGCCCTGCATTCCCAGTGCAGTTGACATGCTGAGAACGAGCGAAGGGGGCACAACCATCGGTACTATCGGGCCCCACTTCCAAGGTAATGGGGTCAGCCTCATTATCATCAGCCTTGTGTACCTCTAGAAACAAATCGCTTGAGGAACTCATTTTGGTTGATGCGCCGCCAAACGGTGTGTCTTCCACAGCAAATGTTTGCAGGGAATCATCATCGGGAGTGAACAGAACAACGTCACTGGGATCAACCGTGAACGGTAACGAGGTAGAACAGTACGACGAATTCCCGGGCATTGCTGAAGCGATGCACTCTTGAATAAGGTGCGAATGGCGCGTTTCATCATCTTCATCATCAATGCCATCCTCAACTATGGACGCAGTCCCGATTGCAAACGCTGATTTTTCCCAAGGAGAGTATCTTGAAGGATAACCACGTGTGGTGCGACCGGAAAGCATCGGGTTTTGGCGAGGGAGGTTTGAGAAACGATCGTGCTGCTCATCCGTAAAAGACAAGCCATCTTGTGGGGTTCCTTCTTCGGCAAATGGCAAGCGTACTTCTTCACCCTCATTGCCCTCCTCAACTCCGTCACCATTGCTAAAGGCCAGAGGAGCTAGTTCTTCTTCCATCTTCACCCCATCGGCCTCTTCCAAAGGATGGCCAGCACAAACCTGCGAACCGCTGTCCACACTGCGTGCCAGAAGAGCCGCGGAATAATCGGGGGAACCAGAGTCCCTAACGAGCGGTATTTGCCGGGAGCATTCACTCTGTGGGGACGACGGAATGGCTGAAGAAGAGAAATCTAAATCGGCTGAAGATATGTACGAAGATGTTCCTCTGGAGAACACGAATGGAGTTGGTAACATGCTAGGTGTAGCCTCTTCCGAATGACCACCGGCGCATGGGGTAATAGACTGCGAGGAGATGACAGGAGGAGGAGGCAAGGGAAAACCTACACTTGAGGCGACATCCAGCTCATCTAGATGGAGGGAATTTAACGGTGATACCAGAGCAGAAAAATCGAGCGGTGGAGAAGGTAGCTGTGGTCCCTCGTCGTTCATAGTGCTAGATCTCACAGTTCCCAGTAGAAAGAAGTCCCCGTTTAAGCGCGGTTGTAAAGGGCTATTGCTTGCCAAGCTGGGGCTATCGCTGCTCATCAATTGGGATGGAGTGTCCTCAACGGCGTACACTTGAGGCAAGGCTTCAGCAGATACACAAGGTGTTAGACCGACAGAGTGAAAGTTCATTCCAGCGAACTCTTCAGGCGCTGGATAACTCGATGAGTGACATGACGTAGAATGAAGTGCTGGTAATTGCAAACAAGATGTTGTAGTAGAATCGGAAAGAAACGGAGTACCTTCATCGGCATAAATACAAGCTTGCTCATTCTCAGCGTCCAGAGCATTCCAAGAACGATGACTGACAGATTGAGACTGTGGTGCAATCTCGTCCCCGAGTAACAGCACTGAGGATACATCTGCAACCAATGCCTCCTGATCAGGATAAATGGATCCTTCGTTTCCGACAGTCACATGGCCATCAGCCTCATCATTATCATCGGTTTCATCTTCGTAACTTTCTTCAGCAGCTTCTTCGTCCGCATCATCGGCCTCGAGAACAACAGACAATAGACCGAAGCGCAAACGAGAGCGAGAATTCATTCTTCTGCGATAGGGCTGATCCGACTCTGTAACAGGTTGTGAGCAGTCTTCCACTTCCGCTTCGGTGTAAGGCACTGGTGCTTGAGAGGGTGGATCTGACCAGGAATGAGCTACATTCAGCGTAGTATCGGATGAACCAAGACACTGTGTACACACCGGATCACTAGAAGACTGATCTCGTAAAATCAACGGGACGGAGGATGGCGCAGGAGCGTGCACTAAGTTACGCAGCACAGCAGCTGAGCTATTGCGGACCAACTCGTGCGGAGAGCGAACTAGCTGGTGGAGCAGATCCACAACTCCGAGACGGCAAAGAAGAACCAAATCTGACGTGGGACAGTGAGGCGAGGTGGTCATGTTCCATAAGGTACCACACGCGTTGACAATTACAGTCAAACTGGGTGGGTTGCGTAACAAATCGACGAGGACGGGGTAACAATTGTTCTGGTGCAACTGTGAGCTGAAGAGGGAGAATAAAAGGTGCGATTGAGGAGAAACGAATGAACCGGAGCAAAAAACAACATTTCATGAACTGGCACATTCCGGAGCCGAAGTACGAGCAGTTGAGGACGATATGTAGTAAACATTATCAGAAGGAATGGGAACGTTAATGACGTCTACACACCGGTGTCCTAGATAAGTAGAACACAGCTAGTTTCCCACAATGTCTGATTAAAAGTAGTGCGAAAGATAAAAGAGGTGGTCATCAAGCTACCTGCAGTGAGTAAGGCAGAGATAAACGTCAGCATCGGAGTGCATTCTAATCACTGGGAGAAATACGAAACAAGCAACGAAGATAAGGAAAATAGAAGGAGTACAGTGGCACGATTTTTATGGAGCTCTGGGGAAGAATGGCTAAACGAACCCCTTCTCAGAATGAACACAAGTTAAAAGCGTTAAAGTACAACAGACAGCCATCAGTGAGTAGAAATTTTCGGAAAGACCAGTGATGGAGCAGAACAGACACTAATGTGCTCCAGAAAATGTTCGACATAAAGTACCAGACACTCTGTTTTGGGGCTTCTTACTTGCTGCACCACTAGTGGGGATTCTTGACGACAGGGCGACAAAATGCCAGCTGCGAATATACAGTGATGGTGCGCCGTAGCTTTTGGTTAAGCTCTAGTTTACTGGACTCCGCAACAACATTTGGAGATAGGAAATGGGTAAAAACACTCTGCCGAATAACCGGATACGTAAAGTGCCCATGGCGATGGCGGGTTATTACTTTGAGAGAAGTGTGCAAGGAGCTGATCGAGGGAACAGACGCAGCGAATCTGCGAAAGATCGGATGTGGATGCGCAACTTGGGTCCATGCTGCCCACAATGCGTCGCCTACGTACAATGGTTGTGGATGTGCCGTCGAAGGGATGAAAGATAACTATGTAGTGTGCCCGCCGTTGGTTTTGATGAAACATAATTCATGGATCAGAATTCACTGGAACCAACTGCTTTAATTGATGTGGTCACAAATGCAATATCTAAAGTTAATAGAAAGATGAGTGAGTGTGCAAGAGAAAACGAACTGCCAAGACAATGAAAGAGAGGATGGCGAAAATAGTAACAATAACCGGAAAGGTTAGGATTCAGAAGTAGGAAAGAAAAAGTATCACCAACATCGCAAAGTCAAAGAAAGTGGCGCAGTCAATGTATGCCACGAGACGAAAATGAAAAATTAAAACGGCGTGTGTGAAACCCAAAAAAGAACACCTGCTCTTGTTTTCTTTCGTATACTTATTGTCTTCCATTTTACCATGGTTCTGATGGCGCATTGCCTGTATACAGACTTGTATATATATATATATATATATATATATATATATATATGCCGCGAAAGTTCCTGTGCTACGCAAAACTGGTTACTAAATGCTTACCGCGGCATCAGTATTACTCATTCAGTAGTCCTACCGGACACGGGAAAGGATATAGCAGTACACATGTTCACACATGACTGCGGTCTTTGGGGTTCAGCTTCATTTGGGTCAGAGTCGTACATCAACAACGACCACCCTACAGCGTTGTATACGCTACTCTCGATACATGTGCACAGATCTCCGCCCAAAAGATGATTGTTGGGTCACACTGGTTGCGCCCGTGGGCAAAGTAGCTTTAATGAATTTACTATCAGAGGTGCTACAGATATGTGCATATCTGTATAAACCGGAGAAGAAATGTAAGCTGCCGCCCATCAATCCCACGTGCGGAAAGTACCTGACACGCTTATCACGAGAACTGTTTAAGTTTAATTTTATCTAATCAATGGTATGTCATTATATTGTCCCCCAAACCTGCTTGTTCATAAGTATATTTTTGTATGAGGCCCGATGTGGAAGAAATCGAAAACGATTGTTCGCCCTAAGCGTTCTGCTTACATTTCTTCTCGGGTTTGACAAAAATGGGCATTCCGCATGAAATATCTGGATAAAGTGGGATGCAGCCCTCGCGGTGGCTGTTTGGCGATTGTGAGAGCCACAGAGGCGTCGGATCAGTTCTGCGCTCTACCTTGCAGTTTGAGGATGCAAAGTACATGCCGAAGTGTAAAACTATTTGCGCCAGCATGTTCACCTGGGTGTGACCAGAGTTAAATATTGCTCATCGCAAATGGTTAGTTGATAACTTAAAAGAGGTGCCATTTTCGATGGAAGAAACAGGTGATAGCAAATCATGATAGTTGGGATCACACAGTTAGAGAGAGGAGTGGAAAGATAAGGTATTTCTACAGCAACCAACGCAGAGGAAGGTTGACTTTAGATACTTAGCAGGTCTCGGGAAGCGTAACATAAAGAAGGAAATGTCACTATTTGGTTGTGGAGTACACACTGTGTGTGTGCTGGATTTGGACACGCAATCTCAATTAGAGTCACACTGGGACCGCATTTAAAGTGGAGAGTCCCGGTGCTGTTTCCCAAACATTGGACATGTTAGATATATCTTTCTATCATATATGTAATTTCAGTGTCAATTCCCTCACTTTATGTCTTTAACAGATGCCTCCCGATGACTCAGGTTCGGACCCCGGAAGCATAATGAGACAACAACATGTGACACGTCTGTGGCACACGGTTGTCAAAATGAGATGCCCAGTGAGGCACTGTTTTGATGAAGCCCTCAACTTGTAGTCTTTGCTACCCAAACGTCCTGTGTGGTCACCTGGTATTTCGATGGGCCATTCCTCGAGGCCTCGGTCACCTAACTTTCAAAAAGAAGCATTGAATGGAATATGTGAATAAATGAGTTGTGAGGGCCGTTGAGTGGAGGAGGATCACACTGATATGACGTTCACATGTCTAACGCTTTGCGAATACGTTGTAAAGTGTAAGAATAGTGTTGCATCCAACATTGAAGCGAAAACCGAGTTGTCATCAGGGGAGCATCAGCATCAGCAGTACGCTGGTACGTTGAGCAATCTCAAGGAAGGGGGAGAGCACAGCAGGGCGCGAGCGAATACAGTGGAGAAAGTCAAGGAAAAAATGATTTCCGCCTACAGTTGTTTAATTCCTTTAATAGTAGAATGATTGGACGATCGTATCTTGTAAGAAACCTAATGAGCGCACCCTAAAGTACTGTACAGGGTAGCCAAACTAGTCACAATAAGTAGCCACCGTCCAACGAGAAAGAATGAGATAGATGAATCTAAGTGACCTGGTTAGTCGCAACAGCATCGGATCATCGACGATGGGTGGCGTGGTAATAGTGTTATACAGACTCAGGCGATTCGTCAAACACAGAAGGTAGGACAGACAGAATGAAATGCGCCCAAGGTACAAGCTCAGATACCTGGGAGTGGATCAAATGTCCGCCTTTATGAGATGTTGATTCTTTCATCGCAGATCGTCTTACATAAGTGTTTCGAATGATTTGAAGTCGTGTTGGACAGTTCCCCATAGAACTACACCGATACGATCTCGCAGACCTTTGGAAGCTACCGACGATCCCGATGGACGCCGAGAGCACTAAGTTGATGCTGTTTTGGCGAACATCAGACGATCCAAAGTAAATGCCCGGTGGAGCCATATTCTGCAGTCCAACAGAACTGCCTAAAGCCCCAGAAATATACCCACTACTCGGACGCTCTAGGCTACAAGGTGTTCTTTCATGGCGCATTGAAGGCGATTCCGACACACAGCTGAGTCAGTAATCCCATCGGTCAGAAACAATTGGAGCCTCAGCCCGGCTTGGGGGTGCTGCTTCAGGGCTCAACCGTTCACGTGACGTGTAAGAAGCTTCCAATATTGACTCTATTAGGGTGCGCGCCCAATACATGAGCAGTCCGTTATGATATGGCCTGTCAGTGTTATCCGTGGACTTTAATTAGGAGTGTCAGAGTAAACCTAGGTTCTTCAGGTAAAGCGTGGGATGTGGAGGTTGGCTCTCACCACTCTTCTTCAGGGCTCAGAAATACCGAATTGGCGGGGCTGATAGGGAAAAGGGCTTCTGCAGATCATATGGAGAGCAGGTAGAGGTATTTCTGAAGTAGACCACAATCGTCGGAGTGTTAATCACACGGCGATCCAAAAAGCCTAGGTAGATCGTTGAGGTGGATTGGAAACATAATGGGCCTCAGCACTATGCCTTGGGGTACGCCACTACTAGAAGGATACCAGTCTGTTAGCTGGCAGTAGACTTGAGCCTTCCACTTTCGTTTAAGGAGAAACTCCAGGATCCACTGGTGCAGTGATCCACCAACACCGCATCCTCTCAGCTTGTGGAAGAGGACCTCATGGCATAACATGTCGAACGCCTTACTGAAGTCGATGTAGATCACGTAGACACACTTCTCTTGGTTCACTGCCTGTAGCCATTCAGGCAGGTTGGTAATGCAGGAGCAACTTAGCATGGAACCGTGATGTACGGGTGTCAGATCTTTTGGTTACAGTAACTGTACTAAGCACTTCTTCACGCCCTTCTCGGCTGCCTTGGCCAAAATAGGTGACAGACAAATTGGTTTGTAGTTGCTTATTCTTCTAGAACCACTACCTTTCAGAACCGGCTTTGCTACTTAGCGTTTCCAGCCTCCAGACAGCGACCTGTTGAACAGGTCAGTCACAGCAGGTGAGATTGATTAGGTGTCGTATCGAATAGTGGCTTCTTTCTGTGTCTGACACCACATGCCAATAATCATCAAAGCTGCCTGTGTAAATTATGTACTATTGGGGTTCGTTATTCCTGATGCGCTCCTACGTAGAAATAGAATGCAGCTTCTCGGTTTGGTTTCGTTCTGCTCCGAATGTCCTCCCAGGGCCTATTCGCTTTTTAGGTTACAACAAATTTTTACTAAACACTAACATCATTCCATAATTTGTGTAACATGTTATTGTCCAAGCTATAACCCTCTGGCACCTCGCCCTATAAGTAGATCTCCCTCGCCACGCTCAATCTTCCTAGGGTTCTGTTTCGCTCAGTTTTCGGTCAACCGTCCATTGTACACAGTCCAAATCCTCAATGTGTACAGTGATACAC